AAAATTCACGATGAGGTATTTTGTTTTAAGTGAGATAATTTCAAAGCAATGTCTGAAAGTATAGTCATTTTTATTAAAAATTGAAAAAGTGAATATGAATTTTTACAATTTTCATTATCAACTGATTGCAAAAATAATTAAAACTAATGGCTAAGTGAGTTTTACGTAATCAAGCGCAATTTCAGCGAATATACATCATGCTAAGTAGATATATGAATGAATAACTCAACTTAGTTCCTGTTGAAAAAATAGCAAAAATGTCAAAAAAAAATAATGAAAATGAGCTATGAAATTACATTCACTATGTCGTTAAAACCAGATCAGAGTGTTCAACGTGTTGACATCTATCGGTATATACAGTTCCTAAACGAATCTGTTGAAAAAAGTGAGTGGGCGGATTTGTGGTCTTAAGTGGATCCCTCCTTTCTGGTGGATCGTGCTAAAACAAGAAATAGAATTTATATTAATATAAAACCCACACGAAGAGCATTTTGATATGATAGTCAGCAAGGATATTGAAAAGTTTCATCTTATCTTATAGCTTGGTAATGTATTTCTAAATGTATGACTATGAACTACTAGATATGTTTTGTTATGAAAGAATAAACATTTCGAAATTCCTCTCTCATAAAGTGTGAGGTGTGGGTACCCATCCCCACCCCAATAAGATGAGTAAAATTCGATGGAATGATAAACAAGTGAGAGAAAAAAATGTTATAACTTTTTTTGTTGCTTTACGATTTTCTGTAGATAAAAATTCGAAGAAAATTGTATGTTCACTGCATTGTAATGGTGTCGATGACATCCTGCCGTGTTGAGGCCAGGTAACAACAGCAGACAAAATATATATGATCCTTTTAAAGGGGGCTAGATAGCAATTACAACAGTCGACATCAATTTTGTATCGATAGCTTTAGACACGATAAGATGACACAAGGAATAAAAAGAAGAAACATATTCTTGCTTTCAAATATGACAAGAAAGAAAGGAATAATGCTGCAAATTACTCTTGATCGTGTTTATATGCTTGTGTATTCAATCGAAAGTTTACAAAATACACTTCAAAGATGATGATGATGATCCTTATTTTTATTATCATTATAAAGCATGTTTAGATCCATATATGTATTTAGTGATTATCTTGATGATCTTGCTTTACATTAGATAACGGCGAAAATTGATACTATGCTACAGATGAGGCACCCTATTTATGGAAGATTCATATGAAAGAAAGAAATAAAAACAGCTAAGTCGAACAATATAATAATTGACTTTTTTTTCAGCTTACACATTTGCTCTCTTTCAAATGGATGAAAAAATTAATGTAAACCTGAATGAAGAACACAGTCAACATTTGA